AGAAAGAGAAAGAGAAAGAGAAAGAGAAAGGGAAAGAGAAAGAGAAAGGGAAAGAGAACGAGAAAGGGAAAGTGAAGAGATGTCGCGATCCAACCAAAGAGTGTAGGTTTTCTTATGCTAGAGTTTCTCTTTTCGTTCTGAACAATCTCTAACCCTTCAATGGTACAGCTGATCCAGCTCACTGCAGTACTGGCCCGTAGTTCGCACATAAACGGCGAAGAACAACCCCTTCGCAAGGTCTATGGAAGGATCTGGTAACCACTTGCATAGGGGTAGGGAGGGTCGGCGAGCACTTATCATGGATCATGAGGTTCAATCGTCATCGCTAGCTGCCATGGTTGTGCACCGCGTAAGTTTGAGCGGTCGAGAACCACCACCAGAAGTGGTCAGTTTCACTCGAGGCGTAGATTAATGTAAATTCATGAGAAAACGTAGCAAAGGGCGATGTGGATTTCATGAGTCTCACAAGAAGGCGTTCAGACTTTGCGATGACGAGCGCGTGTCGACGCGAAGTCCGATGACTGCCTATTATATGGAGATGCGCTTCGATATGTTTAGAGGATGTCCTTTTCATTGGCGCGACACGCCGATTGCACATTTCGGGCTCAAACGCTGATGACAAGGTGGTAGCTACCTCAATAGAGATGAAAAAGGAAGAAAGTCTTTCTGAGAATTCAGAGAACGCAGACGGTTCGGACGAGTTCTCACTTGCTAGTACCATAATGTTATCAGCCCGTCTTTTTTATCACTTCACGCTTACCATTCCGACTAGAAAGAGCTGCTAGTGGAACAACCTAATCACTAGGAAGCCGATAGAAATGAACTTTGGGCGTAATATGGGGCAAGGGGCGGGGCATTCTCGTCATGAGCGAGCAGTACCCTTATCACGTATTTTTGAACGCGCAAACCGCCGCGAAAAGCCGTTGAGAGGGCAGGAAGAGCTAAAACAGAGAAGTTCGATGCTGCAGTTGATCTTCCCAGTTTAGCCCCTTACGCTCCCTTACCCCTCCAACCAGTGTCAGCTACAGCGTTCCCCTGGTGGGAAGGAGCTCAAACGCTCCCGGCTGCCCTCACGACTATCTTACATATCAACCATCCGCAAGATCGGATATAGTCAAATGCAGTGGGCATTATTGGCTGGGGGGCGGGCGATCGTTGTTAACGTCATTGGTGGAAGGGCTAGGTGGGAAGTGGTCGACATACCCTCTCGCTGCCCTTCCATGAGTGACGCTGGCAACAACCACCCACATCCAGCTATCGTGCCTAATACCTTTGATATGGTCGCAATCCGGAAGTGCTGGAGTGCGGCTCCCTGCGGATGCGTTTTCTACCAGTAGTCACCGATTCAGGTAGAGGAAAAAAACCAGTGGTTCAAAACGCCGTGAGTGGGCTCACACCACCAAACTTGACGCCACCCGATTGACTGCGAAGGCATCAACTACATATCTCGAGCCATAAAGGCAGTCTCCGCAATTCCAAAATGAGCCTCCACCGCTGTATATCGATAGAAAAACCACGGTGGAGCGCTACTAACTTGGAGGAGGGAAGTGGAAGAATACAAGGGGCGAAGAGTTCATCATGGCAGAGCACTGGCGCACTTATCAATCACTTTCGGGTTGAGATCGTGGGACATTTTCTGGGGTTTGATCTCGATGCATACCGCTTTCCCCAGAGATGCTTCCTCTGAGGAAAAACACGTGGTTACTCTGCCATGTCCCAGAGATGGAGAGGGCGTGGCTGCGTGCTCCTTCTATATATTGCTAAGCTTGCTCTTTTCGTGGGACAATTCCATTTGAGACAGCTGTCATATCTGTCTTGTGCTGGACCAACGTATGAGTACCATACTTTGAACGAAAAAGTGCCTTTGAAGGCACAGCGGCTGTCACGTTCGAATGAAGCAAGCGGCCACGCCCACCCCATCTGCGGGATAGGGAGTGTACTTGAAGTTCTTGAGTGATTACTGAAAGAAGGTAGTCATATCCATTTTATTCACCAGGACAGCACATTCTCCTCTTGCTCGACGACTCAAACAGCAACGAGTTCAAAGGGAAGAAAGTTTGATTATGGCAGAAGAAGAAGCAGTACGAAAACGTCATGAACGGGAAAATCGAGAAAAGCAAAAGAAGGAGAAGTTTGATAGCAGAGAGTCAGACAGGAAAGTTGAACTAGTAGGCTCACAGAAAACGGAATCGTTCAACGATTTGAAATTCCAAGAACATAAAGTGGAAATCAAATCAAAGCCGTCGGCTGAATCTGCTGAGTCAAAAAGACGGAAGAAGGAGAAAAGTGATCTGCACATTGATGAGGGCACAGCTCTCAAGGAAATGAGTAAGGTGATTACCATGTGGTACTTCAGGGGGTCTAATGTCACACAGCTAAATCTGTAGTTCCATTTCAGCTCTATCGTGACCTTCTGGAGAGATTTGAAGAGCTTCGTCAGAAGCAGGAAGCTCAGGTATGGGACGGTTTGAGAACAGCTCGGTTTTGCACCGTGTGCAGGGCACGCTCTGACGCTTGGGATAAGTTTTGGTAATCAAAACCCCTCATGAAAACCCCTCCCTCGAACTTCCCCACGACTGCCCTCCCCCTTTCCACC